AGCCTGGTGTCTGCTGCCTCCCCTGCTCTGTTCTATTGCTGGATGTGGAGCACCCCCAGCAAGGGAGAGGGATCGGGGGAGGAGACTGAGATCCCCTCTGCCACAGATCCCCATGGATCAGATCCTCCCTCTCCTCTCCTCCCACCTGCCGGCGGCCCGGCCAATCAGTTCATTCCCCTCCCTCCCAGCACCTCCTACCTACTGCGATCAACTGTTCAGTGGTGGCCGGAGGAGCAGGGGCAGGAAGAGGCGGGATAGGATGGATACGTGGGGGAAAGGGTGGAGTGAGGGTGGGACCTGGGGCGGAGCGGGGGTCAAGCAGCACCCAGGAAGTCAGCTCCTCTGCTCCCCACTGCTTCCTGCAGCCAACACGTAACTTCCGCTTCACCCCTCCCCCACCTCTAGTCCTTTGTTCCCGAGCTGGGGCGATGCAGCTCAGCTGCAGAGGTGGGGAAGTTCATAGCTCTCCGGGGGGCTGGTTACTGTTTCTATGTCCAGGCAATTGGACTTGCCATTGTCTTCTGAGGACCTCAGGCCCCAGACAGCGACGTGGGCAGCTTAGCCTGCCCCGAGAGCAAACACTCCCTTTTCACCCACTGGGTAACAACACGTCATGTAGGGAAACTGAGGCACATATAGGCTTCATAAAAAAATCCCAAAAAAATCCCGGTTTGTCACCCCCTCCCCCCAACAATACCTCCTAGATGCCTGGTGTGAACGACAGGGAATTTCCTGCTCAGCTTCAGCCAACAGGCAGCTCCCCAGGACTGACACTCAGGGCCCACCCCAGCCCGCCCGGGGCTACTGGGAAACGTGAGAAATGGTCCTAGCCTCCCCCAGGGCTGAGCTCTGCCTGGAAGGGTCTGTCTGCACTGCAGAGTGAACCCTGGGGATCGGCACCCGGGTTAGCCTGGGCTGGGCGCAAGGAGCCATGCTGCTGAGCCTGACCTCACTTACTGTGTCCTCACTGGTGCTGCTGAGTCTCTAGGACGTCTGGGAGCACGTCCCATGGCTGGTGGTGCCGCCGTGAGCTGAGCTATTCTGTGTTTCTTTCCCAGCGATTCGTGGGGTACCCGGCCTGTCTTTCACAGGGGAATTGTGGGAAGGCACAGGAGGGCTATTTTCCCTCAGGTCAGGCTGGCAGTGACCTCGTGGGGGAGGGTTTTCACTTTCCTCTGCAGCATGTGGATGCGGGTGACGTACCAGGATTGTTTGGGGGTATCTCACTGCATCGTTTCCCTGCATTGTGGGGCCTCGGGCGCTGGTACCTCGGTGCCTCCTCTTCTCAGCCTGTGGCACATAAATAGTCCAGTCTGCTGTAGGCTGTCCTGCTTTGGGCTAATGTTGGTTGTTGGGTTAGGTGGGTGCTGGGTGGGGTTGGTGGCCTGTGCTATACAGGGGTCAGATTAGATGACCTGGTTCCCTTCTGGCCTCAGACTCTCTGACTCTCAGCACTGGAGTGGTTTAGCCTGCACAGAGGTGCCGACTTCCCCAGTTTCCAGTGGGTTGGTTGACCCTCACTCTGCCCCAGACCCCACCCCAAGCCCCCATCCCTCCCCCGCACCTCTTCCTACCCCCACAGCTTCCCCTACCCCTCAGAACCTCCTACCCACCTCTGAACAACGGATCTGTGGCAGGAAGAAGGCGCTGGGAAGGAGGGGGAGGAGCTGATGGGCAGGGCCCGTCAGTGCGTGGGGGGTGCTGTGGGGAGAGGGGGAGGAGCTGATCGGCAGGGCCCGTCAGTGCGTGGGGGGTGCTGTGGGGAGAGGGGGAGGAGCTAATTGGTAGGACCTGTCGGTGGGTTCCAAGCACCACTATTTTTTTTCTGTGGGTGCTTCTGCCCTGGAGCACCCCTGGAGTCGGTGCCTGTGCTGGGCGGAGAGCACCCCTGAACTCAGATGAGGTGTTTATGCATCTAGACAGGAAGGGCATCAGGGTTAGCAGCTGAGTAAGCGCCTGGGTTAACTCTGCAGTGAGGACAGATCTTAACACTCTCCTTCTATCTCTCTCTTCCCTCTTGCAGTGCAGGCCACTCCAGATCCAGACCTGGCAAATCCTTGTTCCATCGTGTCCACAGATGAGAGTGTGATACAGAAATACCAAGACACGGGATACTCAGTGCCACAGGACATGTTTTATCCTGCTGCCTGTGTGCTGGGCTATAAGGGCTTCACCTCAGGGAGATGTTACTGGGAAGTGAAGGTGGGGAACAAAGATGAGTGGGTTTTGGGCATTGCCAAAGAGTCTGTGATACATGAGGGAGCGATAAGCTGTACACCAGAGGAGGGGATCTGGGCTTTGCAGAGTACAGGGAATGAGTACTGGGCCCTCACCTCCCCTAAGACTGCTCTGGACCTACCTCGTAGCCCCAGTAACATTGGGGTTTACCTGGATTATGAAGGACAGAAAGTTACATTTTATGACATTACATCTTCTGGCAAAGAGCCAATCTTTACTTTCACATCCTCTTTCACTGGGAAGATCATCCCCTTCTTTGGGAGCCAGTGTGTAGAATATCAGTATCTAGTCAGTAGTGATCCCTGGAATACACACCAGGTAATAGATTGGCAAAGCATGCCAGTAAATTATAACTCTCGGGCATACCATTTGTAGGAATGTGTTGCTCCCTAATCCCAAGCCTTGAAGAACGGCAAACTGTTCCCTTGGCAATGAGGCAAGAGTAACCTTGTTCTAGCGCCTATGTTTGGAAAACTTATTGGCAACCTGACATCACCTTTGCAGCTGGTGTTCACGCGCTCAAGAGATGGGTTCGTTATCTTATGTGCATGTATACTGTCTGGCTTTTCTATGCGCAAGAATGTAACCACTAAAAAGTGTTGTAAACAAAGTAAGGAGAAAAATAAAACCCCCCAAAAAAGTTTTCCTGAAAGGCTTTTTGCTTGAGGCTTTTGAAGCTCTCTGGCTATCACAAACCTGGTGTTCTATTTCCTTTCCTGTGTCGTCACCACAACCATTAAGACCTGTGACAGAGGAGCAGGGATCTGAGTGATATGAGATATCTAAAGTAGAGCAAAGACATGGGTAATATATAAATTACAGCTATCACACTTTGCCATTCTAATCACAGTCTTGCCGCCCTCAAGCATTCAAAAACTGTGTCAGGCCCCCCACAATCATGAGATTGACTTAAACATCTTTTTAAATTTTGTGTTATTTTTCTTTTCCTTCTGGTTTCTCAGCTTTCAGGGTGTTCTTGTTTCCAGTCTTCAATCTTTGCTATACAAACATGAAGGCTGGAAATGTATTTGTAATATAATCTGAGCTCCCTTGCAATCTATCTACTCCAGCAGCTGGGACTGTAAGAAAAACACCGAGTGCTGCGAGACTCACAATAAAATGGTGAGGGAGAACAAGACTGACTTGCTCAGCATTATGCTGGTGAATGGAGTTTCTCGGCCCTCTTACATGCTTATCTCTGTAATTCTGGGATCCTCCAGACACACATGAACTGACCAACCAGCAGACACCAGGAGCCACTCCCAGGGTCACAGCAGAGCCTGCTTGTCTTAGAGCAGGTCTACACTTAAAATACTGCACCGCCGCTGCGCCGCTGTAATGCTTAAGTAAAGATGCTCCTACGCCGACAGGAGAGCTTCTCCCATCAGTGTAGTTAATCCACCTCTGTGAGAGGCGATAGCTATGTCCAGGGGAGGAGCTCTCCCGTCAACGTACTGCTGTCTACACCGGGAGTTCAGTTGGTACGACTGCGTTCACTGAGGGGTGTGGATTTTTCACAGCCCTGAGCAATATAGTTCTACTAATGGAAGTTTATAGTGTAGACCTGGCCTAACTTGTGACTCACTTAGGGTCATCCACCTAAGTCCTCTGCTCTTTGCTTATGAATATAAAAAACATAAAAAGAAGAACAGGAGTACTTGTGGCACCTTAGAGACTAACAAATTTATTAGAGCATAAGCTTTCGTGGACTACAGCCCACTAATAAATTTGTTAGTCTCTAAGGTGCCACAAGTACTCCTGTTCTTCTTTTTGCGGATACAGACTAACACGGCTGTTACTCTGAAACCTATAAAAAACATAGTGGTGTTTCCCTCTCCCTGCAGTTCCCTAGGTCAATGCTCCTATTTTACTGTTTGGTTATTTGGATGCTGTAGATTCAGATGAGTAAATTCACAGAATAAAGTTTATTTCTATCTTCTGGTCTTGGACTTTGTCCCAAGGGTATTAGATCTGTACGGCTTTGCCCTGAAACGTTAGACAGACCCACAAGCAAATGCCTTGAAGGGGCTTGAAGAAAAGCCGCTGGGTAACTTCAAGTGAAACCTCTAAAATCAAAGAATCAAGTGATGCTTTCCCGGGCAAGAAAAGAAGCAATAACATCCTTGTTGTGAAAGAAATCTGTTAGCAACTTCCAGCTGCCAAGGAACAGAAGGAAACTGGCAATAAAATAGCAACTCACATCATCAACTAAAGAATATTACGGGGTGGCACTTAGCCGCACCATTGTTTTGCAGCAGCATTTCTTTCCCAAACCAAATTACCCCTTTTTCTTTAAATTCACATTCACAGTCTGATTGGCTAGAAACCTGATACGCCACCTGAGGGCATAGGGTAGGGTCGGGGTACAAAGCTGGAGTCATTTGGTCAAGGGGTTCATGAGATACAGCTGTGAGCTAGGTATGAAATAGGAGCACAATCCTGTTCATGGCTGGTTGAGGGAGACTCCCAGCACACCCTGTAGCCTACAGGCTGGAAGGCAGAAGAACTCAATCTCTTCTGCTGCTGCTTCTCAGCAGTTTGTATTGGCTGAGGCATCGCGCCCTTGGGGAGGTACCCGTCATCACTACCCCCTTTTTGCAGATGTGAGCAGAGGATGCAGAAGGTGAACTCAGACAAAGCAGAAGATAATTCGTAGATTCCAAGGCCAGAAGGGCCACTGTGATCTTCTAGTCTCCTGTGTCACACGGGTCACTGAACTTACCCCCAAATAATTCCTAGAGCATCATTTTGATTTATTTTTTCCAAATCTTGATTTAAAACTTGTCAGTGACCCCTTGGCAAATTGCTCTACTGCAGGGGTCTCAAACACGCGGCCCGCAGGCTGCACGCGTTAGAAATGTACACCTTAATGCCAGGTCTCTGTCTAATACAGCAGACCCACACCTCAATCACTGAACCCCTCCGCCTTTGGAAATGAACCTACCAGCTCAACTAGCCGCACAGGCCAGGGGTTCAGGCTTGGTGCCTGGCCCAGCTGCACAACACTGAAACAAGGGTGCAGTTGATTCAGGCTTGAAGCATGGCCTAGACACCCAGCCCTGGGACTGGCTTGACAGCTGAGACCAGGCAAGTTCAGTGCATGGAACAAGCACAGCCCTGAGACTGGGGGAAGGGGAGGTAGCTGAGAAGAGGTCGGCTCTGTGCATGTCCCAGGCACACAGCACTGCAAGCGGGCTGGGAGAGCTGACAGCCGGCCGACTTGGGGCATGGCAGACACACAGTGCTGAGAACGTGCAGAGTTGGGGCATGACACACACATAGCACTGACTGGGGCGGGGGCAGCTGCAAATAGTCATGCCTAGTGCACGGCAGATACACGCGGTGCCAGGACAGGTGGAAGCAGGCACACTCTGTGCATGGCGCAGACACACAGTGCTGACAACAGAAGCAAGTGATACTGGGGTGTCTGATGAGAATGGGCAGGCTCGGGGCATGACACAGACTCTGTACCTCAGTTTCCCCATCTGTAAGCTAGCTGGGCTCTTCCAAGGCAGGGCCAACCTCCTTTGACTTGCGTGGAGGTCAAGAAATAAGTTTGTCTTGTGCTTATTTCTTGTCCAGCGGGGGTTCCACATTCACAATCGCCCCCTGTTGGGAAGTGAGGGGAGGGCGCTGTGGGGTAGGTACATCAGAAAGGAGGACACTGCAGGGTTGTGCTTGGCAAGACGAATTTTGGATGATCTTGATGTGGCCTTGATTCAGAGGAGCGAGGAAGGGAAATTACATCATGTTGCAACATTGTATCCCACCATCCAGAGTCATCCTTATAACCAGCCGCATCCCCAGCGGAGATCCAGTCACTGCTCTTTTCCCACCATGGTTACATTTCCTGTTCTGGGCCCAGGTGGCTGCTTGTCCCAGGCCCCCTCAGTCTGTCCCAAGATGCCCCCTCCTGCAGCTGGGATAAATAAGGGGGCTGGGAGACTCTCTGTAGCCCCTTACCCTGTACAATGCAGGGGTCCCAGTACCAGATCTCCTCACACACACTGTCCTGGGCCATTGGTCCTCTGCCCTGACCTGGGATGAATCTCTCTCTAAAGGGGAGAGAGGAGCTCTGTCTGCATGATCCATTGAGTCCATGGCCTTTCTGCTGAGCCTCACACAGAGGGGTGTGATCAGTGGAGACTTTGCTGGTTACTTTGGTGTGTAATGGAGTCACCTACACCCCAGGAACCAGGCTGAACCCTGGTCTACACTACGGGGTTAGGTTGAATTTAGCCACGTTAGGTCAATTTAAAAATGACTGTATCCACACAACCAACCCCATTCCGTCGACCTAAAGGGCTCTTAAAATCTACTTCTGTACTCCTCCCAACGAGGGGAGTAGCGCTAAATTTGACCTTGCTGGGTCAAATTTGGGGTAGTGTGGACGCAAATCGATGGAATTTGCCTCTGGGAGCTATCCCAAAGTGCTCCATTGTGACCACTCTGGACAGCACTTTGAACTCCGATGCACTAGCCAGGTACACAGGAAAAGCCCCGGGAACTTTTGAATTTCATTTCCTGTTTGATCAGCATGGCAACCTCAGCAGCACAGGTGACCATGCAGTCCCCCCAGAATCGTAGAGCTCCCCCTATCATCACCATCCCTGAGGTTATCGCAGATTAGAAGGCGAAAAAAATGCACTCGCGATGACATGTTTTCCAAGCTCATGCAGTCCTCCTGCACTGATAGGGCACAGCTTAATGCAGGGGGTTATTTTCTGTGGCCCGTGAGCTCCTCGCGGCCCCCCCACTCTTCCCTGCCTGCCTGCCCTGCCCCTGCGCCAGGAAGCAGCTGGAACATGGGGAAGGGGGGGCACATTGGTGTGTGTGTTGATGTTGCTTCAGGCACCGCCTCCAGCAGCTCCCATTGGCCGCAGTTCCCCATTCCTGACCAATGGGAGATGCTGGGGGCGGTGCCTGAAGCAACAGCAATACACACATCCTGGAGCGGCGTGGGGGTGGGGCAGGGCAGACAGGCAGGCAGGGAGCCTGCCCTGCCCCGGTGCGCGCCGGGCCAGAGCCTGTCCCCGAACCCCTGCCCTGAGCCCCCTGCTGCACCCCATACCCCTCCTGAACCCCAACCCTCTGCCCTGAGCAGCCTGCCGCACCTCACACCCCTCCTGCACCCCAACCCCCTTCCCTGAGCTGCCTGCCGCACCCTGCACCCCAACTCCCTGCCCTGAATCCCCTGCCGCACCCTCCTGCACCCCAACCCACGGCCCTGAGCCCCCTGCCGCACCCCTCACCCCTCCTGCACCCCACACCCCAACTCCCTGCCCTGAGCCCCTGCCACACCCCACACCCATCCTGCACCCCCTGGGGGCAGGGAGGGGGAAGAGTTGGGGTGGGGATTTCAGGGAGGGGGTTGGAATGGGGGCAGGGAAGGGGTGGGAAAAGGCAGGGCAGGGGTGGGGCCTCATGGAAGGGGTGAAGTGGGGGCGGGGCCGAGGGCGGCAGGGGGAGGCATCAGTAATGCGGCCCTCGGGCCAATGTACTGGTCCTCATGTGGTAATTTGAGTTTGAGACTCCTGGCTTAATGCATGGAGGCATTCAGGGCGATTTTATAGAAGTCGATTTTTAGAAACTGATTTTATACAGTCGATTGCGTATGTCCACACTAAGCGCATTAAGTCGGTGGAGTGTTGTTAGGGTATAAATATTCGGGCCTGTCTGTAAAGGCCTATACTTTAAGAATTTACGTGTATTCTTATCACTTAGCTAGTTATAGAGGTATAAAAGAGAGAATCAAAATCACTTTCTCCCAGTGTAAGGGCCTTCTCTTACCGTGACAGTCTGAGGCCCTGTTCTTAGGCTAAGGCCTTCGGCTAAGCAGCAGAGGCCAGCCATAAACTGGGAAGCGAACGGTCACATCCTCACATCCCAAACCAGTCACATTGAAATCAGGTGCTATTGGGCTGTTAGGAATACAATCCTGTCCTGATATTCCTATCACCTCCAGAGAAAGGGAAGAGCCTAGAAGATGTAAAAGGAAACTTAGTTGGATAGCATCCTGTCTGGCAAGAACTTACTTATCAATAGCTGGGATGTAAAATCCTTGTTTCTGTGTTGTTTTATATGTTTATTTGCATGGTCTCTGTCTGGTTCTGTGATTGTTTCTGTCTGCTGTATAATTAATTTTGTTGGGTGTAAACCAATTAAGGTGGTGGGATATAATTGGTTAAATAACCATGCTACAATATGTTAGGATTGGTTAGTTAAATTTCAGTAAAATGATTGGTTAAGGTATAGCTAAGCAGAACTCAAGTTTTACTATATAGTCTGCAGCAGGGTAGTCAAAGCCAGGAGAATAAAATATTTGAATTTATTTTTGGGTAACAAAAGAGCAGATAAAAGATCTGGTAAAGAGAGAGAAGGACAGTGCCCCTGGCTCTGTGTGGTCGAGCTGTCACTTTACTGTGGGTGCATGGAGATTTTGTAAGCACAAAAGAAACAATTACACCTTGTGTAGAAATTGAATTGTGGAGAGGAGGTGCATTTTCCCCAGAACATGTGCAGTGTATATTGTAGCAGAGGTGAAAGAAATGCAAACCTACCAATATAGGTTGTGTTGTCTTTTTCAGATTGCTGTGTGTTTGAAAGCAGGAGTTAGAAGTAAAAGGCAATCAAGAGTCTGGGAAAGTTAATTGTGACCCTTTTTATGTAAGAATCTTTAAGCTTTGGATAGCTTTGGATCCAGAGGGGAGTGTAGAAATATCCTATACTCTATGATTCTGGGGGGACTGAATGGTCACCTGTACTGCTGAGTGCTGCTGAGTTCACCACGCTGACCAAATAGGAAATGAAATTCAAAATTTCCCGGGGCTTTTCCTGTGTACCTGGCTAGTGCATCAGAGTTCAAAGTGCTGTCCAGAGCGGTCACAATGGAGCACAATGGAGCACTCTGGGGTAGCTCCCAGAGGCCAGTATCTTCGA